AAAGCGGGCCTCACTAGTCTTAAGGTGGGTGATGAGGTCTGCGACAGTGTGAAAGGAGGCTAGGTCGGGGAACAGGTAGGGGAGAGTGAGGCGGCCTAGCGTAGCAGAAGCGGGTGAGGAGTAGCGGGCAACTACAGCGGTGTAGAGGTCCTTAGCAGTCTTGCACTGGCCGAAGTGCTCGCGCTCGTCTAGCGGCAGGGAGTTGCGAATAGCAAAGCGAGCGTGCGCATCACGAGTCTGCCACTGAGAGCGTAGAGTGCTGTCAGCAGACGTGTCAGGGGCAGTAGCATGGCCTAGGGCGTGGTCGTACAGCGAGATGTCTTCCTTGGCAGTGAGCTGTAGGAACAGGTGCAGGTCATCTAGCCAGGTGTCAAACTTCACCGGACGGCCCTCGGCATCGAAAGCTAGAACGGGAGGACTAGCCATAGTGACAGTAGTAGGAGGAGGAACTAGGCCGCTGGAAAGGTGTGCGTAGGGTCAACGGGACCGGCGGGGCCGCTAGGTAAGGCGCGGGCGGGGTCGACTGTCCGTAGTGGCACACGAGCGGCAGGAGTAGGGAGCGTGGCAGCAGGAGCTGCAACGGCGCACTGGTGGCAGCTGCAGTGGCAGCAGTGTGCGCGGTAGGTAGCGTAGGGATAGCGGCGGCGCACGGGCAGCGGCGGCGCACGGGCGGCAGCAGTGCACGTGCGGCGACGGCAGGAGGCGGCGGTGCGCAAGCAGCAGCGGAAGCAGCGCACGGGCGGCAGCTGCGTATGCGCACGTGCGGCAGTGGCAGCGGCGCACGGGCGGCTGCGGGCAGCGGGGCGTGCGCGAGCAGGCGACGGGCGGCTGCGGGGCGTGCGCGAGCAGGCGACGGGCGGCTGCGGGGCGTGCGCGAGCAGGCGACGGGCGGCTGCGGGGCGTGCGCGAGCAGGCGACGGGCGGCTGCGGACGGGCGGCCTCTGCGACGGCGGGCTGCGGGCCTGCGGGGCGTGCGCGAGCAGGCGACGGGCGGCTGCAGCAGCGGGTGCGTCAGCGTGGCGCACAGGGCAGCGGCGGGCAGTGCGCGAGGCTACGAGGCGCACGGGCAGCAGCGCAAAGGCGCGCGGGCAGCGGGGAGGCAGCGTGACGGGCCGCGCGCGAAGAAAATAAGGCACGCGCGGGCAGCTGGCGGGGCGCACGCGTGAAAACGGCCGCGCGCGAGCGGCTAGTACGGCGCGCGCGGTAAAAAAAAGGAAAGCCACGCGCGGGCGGCTAACTAGCTGCGTGCGCGTGGTAGGTAGGTAAGGAGCGCTCTAGGACGCGCAGGCGCACGAGGCGCACAGTAGGTAGGTAGGTAGGTAGGTGGGCCCTAAGAACAGTCCTAGCGACGGACCTGCTCTGAAACCATGTCAGTAATAACGGACTGGAATGGTGAACTAGAAAGGATTGTGAGTACAAATATGAAACCCTAATGTTGTGACCCCCCTATAGGCTAACCCACTACAGCCTACACAAACACAACACATATAATGTTTGACACCTGGGCAGCCATGGCTGTGGCGTAGATCTCAGCCTCGCAACTGGAGCTGAGAACAGAAGAAGAGCGTGTAGAACGCCAAGAAACTGAGCCGGAGCCAAGGCTGAAGGTGTAACCCTGAGACGACCACTGAGTAGCCTGGTCGTCCGCCCAAGAAGCGTCTGAGTGTCCAGTAAGTACAACTCGGTCTCGCCCTCCAAGCACTAGCCCCATGCCCGACGTACTGCACAAGTAGCGCAACACCCTCTTAGCGGCATCCATGTGCTCCTTCCTGTGACGGCCAGGAGCGACATAGCGCGCAAGGATGCTAAGAGGGTATGCAAGGTCAGGTCGAGTGCAGGTCATCAGGTACATGAGGCAGCCCACAAGCTCTGGATACGGGCCACTCGGCTCTACGGACTCATCCAAAGGCAGAGCTGAGAGCGAGTGACCGGTAGGCAGAGGAGTGGACTGAGGCGAGGAGTACGTGAAGCGGAAGCGCTGAAGGATCTGCTGCACCATGTGTGACTGAGTCAAGGTGATGGTGCACCGTGCTCTGTCCCGGGTGATCCGCAAGCCAAGATAGCTTGTCAGTTCACCCAGGTCTGTGCACGTGTGTCTCCTCTGCAGCTCCGACTTCACGTGGGCGAGTGCCGCGGTGTCAGCAGTGGCAAAGACCAAGTCGTCGACGTACACGAGGATGTAGAACGGCGGCAGTGAGGTGTCTGTGCGTAGAAACAGTGACGGGTCAGCAGTAGAGGGAGCGAACCTAAGAGCCGCAAGTGTCTGTCAGAATGTTATTGTCTAGCCTGCAGTGGGGTGCTCAATAGTGAGTACAACCCCTTAGGGTTTCCTATATGTATCCTGCTGCTTGCTAGTTCATCATCATTCCCATTCTCACAATTCTCCTTCGTATACCACAAACCCTAGTCCTAGGGCACAACCTACTACCTCCTAGTGTGGGCCTAGGCTACTAAGCCTAGGCCCCACTCCTAGTATTCCTGACATGGTATCAGAGCAGGCACGTTCCTGCCGCCTTCCTGTATGGGCCCACCACCTGCTTCCGCTGCCGTACTGTCCGCCGCGCGCCCCGTGGTGCGCGGCGGCCAAACCCTAATTTTTCATCCCGCCGCGCGCTCGGAGCGTGCGGCGGTTCTCTACCAGCCGTGCGCCCCGAGGCGCGCGGCGGTTTTCTGCCCGCCGTGCGCCCCGAGGCGCGCGGCGGTTTTCTGCCCGCCGTGCGCCCCGAGGCGCGCGGCGGCTTTCTGCCCCGTCACTCCGCGAGTCGCCCCCGGGAGGAGCTGCGACGGGCGACGGGGAGCCGCGCGTCGCCCCCCGTCGCCCGTCGTGGCCCGAGCGACCTCCGTAGGGCCCGCGCGCGGCCCGTCTAGCCTGCGCGCGGCCCGTACGGGCTGCGCCAGGCCCGCGCGCGGCCCGTACGGACTGCGCCAGGCCAGGGCGCGCCTCGAGCCGCCCGCCACTGCAGCAGCAGCCCCTGGAGCCGCCCGCAACTGCAGCAGCAGCCCCTGGAGCCGCCAGCACCTGCAGCAGCAGCCCCTGGAGCCGCCCGCAACTGCTGCAGCAGCCCCTGGAGCCGCCAGCAACTGCAGCAGCAGCCCCTGGAGCCGCCAGCAACTGCAGCAGCCGCCCCTGGAGCAGCCGCCCCTGGAGCAGCCGCCCCTGGAGTCGCCCGCCACTGCAGCAGCCGCCCCTGGAGCCGCCCGCCACTGCAGCAGCCGCCCCTGGAGTCGCCCGCCACAGCAGCAGCCGCCCCTGGAGCCGCTCGCCACTGCAGCAGCCGCCCCTGGAGTCGCCCGCCACAGCAGCAGCCGCCCCTGGAGCCGCCCGCCACTGCAGCAGCCGCCCCTGGAGCCGCCCGCCACTGCAGCGGCCGCCCCTGGAGTCGCCCGCCACTGCAGCAGCCGCCCCTGGAGTCGCCCGCCACAGCAGCAGCCGCCACTGGAGCCGCCCGCCACTGCAGCAGCCAACCCTGCAGCTGCATGCGACGCCGCTCCTGGTCCCGGTGCAGCCGCCTCCTTTTCCTGTCACCCGCAGTCTTGTTCCTCTCGTGCTGTATGTGTCGCTTCTAGCCCGCTCCGTGTTCGTTCGTCTTGCTCGTGTATTTGTTTGTTTTGCCTGTGTTCGTTTGTTCTACCTACCTACCTACCTACCTGCGCCCTCGTGCCTTGTGCCTTGTGCCTTGTGCTTCGTGCCTCGTGCCTCGTGCCTCGTGCATCGTGCGCCCTGCTCCGCGCTGTTGCTCTGCACGCGCGGTTGCCCGCGCCCTCGTGCGCTCTACCTACCTACCTACCTACCTGCGCCCTCGTGCCTTGTGCCTTGTGCCTTGTGCTTCGTGCCTCGTGCTTCGTGCCTCGTGCCTCGTGCCTCGTGCCTCGTGCATCGTGCGCCCTGCTCCGCGCTGTTGCTCTGCACGCGCGGTTGCCCGCGCCCTCGTGCGCTCTACCCTACCTGCTCCGCGCTGTTGCTCTGCACGCGCGGTTGCCCGCGCCCTCGTGCGCTCTACCCTACCTGCTCCGCGCTGTTGCTCTGCACGCGCGGTTGCCCGCGCCTTCGTGCGCTCTACCCTACCTGCTCCGCGCTGTTGCTCGGCACGCGCGGTTGCCTGCGCCCTCGTGCGCTCTCCCGCCCCGGCCCTCCCCCCCCCCCCCCTGCGTCCCCTGGACAGGAGAGTGTGGGGGTGGCGGGTGTGGGGGTGCTCCGTGTGCGTCGCCCCTTCCTTCTCCTCCGTCTCCCACTGCTGCAGCTGCCGCTGCGGGGGGGTGGATGTGTGGGAGACGAGGGAGTGGCGCTAGGGGGGTGATGTGGGCGTGGAGCGAGTGGTGACCCTGGGGGTGAGTGTAGGGGGGAGTGAGACAGTTGGAGGAGGTTGCAACCTGGTGCTCCTGGTGCCCGTGTGTCTGCAACTTCAGTCGTCGCCTCCTCTCATCTCTCCCTCCACAGTTCCTCCTCCTCCTCACTGGCCTCCTGTGACTGCCACTAGCTTTGCTCATATTTGTGAACTATTGCACTGCCTGCTCATTGTACTGATTGCACCTCACTTTGGCTATGGGGGTGTGTCAGAATGTTATTGTCTAGCCTGCAGTGGGGTGCTCAATAGTGAGTACAACCCCTTAGGGTTTCCTATATGTATCCTGCTGCTTGCTAGTTCATCATCATTCCCATTCTCACAATTCTCCTTCGTATACCACAAACCCTAGTCCTAGGGCACAACCTACTACCTCCTAGTGTGGGCCTAGGCTACTAAGCCTAGGCCCCACTCCTAGTATTCCTGACAGTGTCGTCCTCAGTGTGTCGTGCCATTCACGTGGTGCCTGGCGGAGACCGTAGACCGGCCGCTGAAGCCTCCACTTGGTACCAGGAGGAACCGACCCAGTGAAGCCAGGAGGGCGACGCAGCCAGATCTCCTCGTGCAGGCTGCCCTGCAAGAAAGCAGTGCTGAAGTCAAGCGAGTGAAGCTCGTAGTCGCGCTGAGCGGCTATGTGCAGCAGCACCCGAAGAGTGGTCATCTTCGGGGTGGGCTCAGCAACAAGGCTAGTGGCGTAGTCTAGACGACACCGGGCAGCAAAGTCTATCAACTCAGCGACCAGAGCAGACGCAGCAGAGGACTCAAAGGTAGGGTCAGTGACAACAGTAGCGAGGAGACGGGTGACAGTGGGACTGGCAGCACGACGGGAGTCAGACTCCGGATCAGGAAGAGTAGGCAGAGAGGACGCAGGAGGAGACGGCAGCGGAACACGCTGAGGAGCAGTGGAGGGACGCAGAGTCATGTAGTGAGTGCCAGGGACAGGAGGAGGACGCTCACGTGGGACACGACGACCAGTGCGAGCAGTACGAACAGGCGACGCAGGACGAGACTCAGGCTCACGACGCTCTGTAAGACCTCCCGTGGGACCAGTGTAAGGAGAGGGAGCAGGGAGAGGCGAGGCAGGCGGGAACTGTGACTGTGACTGGACAGGCGGAGGACACTCTACGGAGGAAGGAGGACAAGGAGGAGGAGCCTGACCAAGAACCTGCTGAAGAAGTGGTACGAAGTACGGTCGCGGTCGCGTAGCGTCTCCAGAACCAGCAGGGACACCAGCGACAGGGTCCTCAGCACCAGCAGCAGCTCCAACGTCCGGGTCCTCAGCACCAGCAGCAGCTCCACCGCTCGGGTCCTCAGCACCAGCAGCAGCTCCACCGTCCGGGTGCTCAGCTCCAGCAGTAGCTCCAACGCCCGAGTCCTCAGCACCAGCAACAGCGCCACCGCTCGGGTCCTCAGCACCAGCAGCAGCTCCACCGTCCGGGTCCTCAGCTCCAGCAGTAGCGCCAACGCCCAGGTCCTCAGCACCAGCAGTAGCGCCACCGCTCGGGTCCGCAGCACCAGCAGCAGCTCCAACGCCCGGGTCCTCAGCACCAGCAGCAGCGCCACCCCCAGGGTCCGCAGCACCAGGAGCACCACTCCGAAGACTGCAGCGCCGCGTGTACCACTCTCGGATCTGCTGAATGGGGGGGAGCTCCTGGGCAGGAGGGGAAGTACTGGTGCGAGCTCCAGTAGCACCTCTCCGGAGGCGGCAGTACTGTAGGTACCTCTCCTGCAGCTGCCGGGAGGAGAGGGCTCCTCCAGGTGTAGCACGCTCAGGCTCAGCACCCCCAGACTCAGCACCCCCAGGCTCAGCACCCCCAGGCTCAGTACCTCCAAGCTCAGCACCCCCAGACTCAGCACCCCCAGGCTCAGCACCCCCAGGCTCCGCACCTCCAGGCTCCGCACCCCCAGGCTCCGCACCCCCAGGCTCCGCACCCCCAGGCTCAGTACCCTCAGACTCCTCACGGTCAGGCTCAGCACCCCCAGAAGGGCGAGAGTCAACAGCTACCTCGACAGGCTCACCCGGGTCTACCTGGGACACACCTGAGGGAGCGGCACCCTGAGGGGGGAGGGGGTCTGGTACCTCAGCACCTGGAGCGAGGAAGAGAGGCGGGGGGGGGGAGTGCGGTAGGGGAAGAGGCGGTAGTAGGGGACGGACTCGTCAAAAGTGACGTCCTGAGAGGCCAGGACACGACGCGAGGTGGCGTGGTAGAACTGCCAACCAGGCGCGTCCGGGACGAAGCCAAGGAAGACACAGGGGACAGCTCGACGGGAGAGCTTGTCCGCGGACGTATCGCGAACAAAAGCTCGAGATCCCCAGACCCGAAAACGCGACGCATCGCCAGCCTCTCCCGTCCAACGCAGTGTCGGAGAGGTCTCCGGTAAGGAGACACGGGGCCAGAGGTTGAGCTGATGCGCAGCGTATCGGACTGCAAACGGCCACAGAAAGTGGGGGGCAGCCGCATGAATCAAGGAGGTACGAGCGACCTCCATGACCAAGCCAATGCGGCGCTCAGCAACCCCATTCTGCTGTGGAGAGGCCGGAAGCGTGAACGACTGCTCAATGCCCTCCTGCTGACAGAAGGCCTCCAAGAGGCCAGAGGAAAACTCCCCACCTCTGTCAGAGTGCAGACGCAGGACAGGGAAGTCGGAGCGGAAACGCTCACTGAGCTGGAGACGAGATCTGCGGATCCAAGGGATCAAGACATCAAGGACCTCACCCTTGGTGCGCAAGGGGAAGACCGTGGTGTAGCGCGAGAAGTCGTCAACAACAATCAGGAAGTACCTCTCCTGACCCTGACCACGGACGCGGGCTAGGCCCCACACGTCCATGTGGAGCGTCTGCAAAGGAGCAGTCGTCGGGGGGAAGGAGGAGGAGTGAGGAGCGGCGCGCTGCCGCCCCTCGACACAGGGAAGACAGGGAGGAGCAGGCGAGGGTGGGAGGGGAGGGAGAACCCTGGGAAGACCAGCAACAAGGTCCCGTTTGTGCATGGCCCGAAGGCGCTGCACAGACGGGTGACCAAGGCGGTGGTGCCAGAGGACAGTCTCATGCGCCAGAGAGCGACACGAGCAGGGGGCGGACAGCTGACCTGACGCAGACGCAGACGCGGACGCAGCTACCTGAGGGGACTCAGTGGTCAGTGTGTACAGGTCCGACCCCGGCTGCCGAGTGAAGGTAGCTAGGTGACGGCCCGTCCGAGCACACGTGCAGTGGGTCACGCGCTCGTAAGCAGGGGTGAACTGGTGAACACCCCCGTCCTGGAGCGCACTACCTGCCACCAAGTTCGTGGAGAACGAGGGGAGGTAGAGACCTGACAGCGTGCCTGACGGGACCGCAGGACAAGGAAGGACAGTAGAGGAGGTCGCAACGACCGGACCCCCAGAGGGGTCAGCGAGGGAGACAGCAACTGGCCGAGCAAGTGGCTCAAGGACAGTGCGGTCACGAAAGAAACAGCGAGAAGCACCTGAGTCCAGTGTGAAGGTGTGCAGTGCTGCAGTTGACTCAGTACCAGAGGGCACGGACTCACTAGCACCTAGAGCAGCAGCCTCACCAGGACCTGGGGCAGCAGACTCACTAGCACCTAGAGCGGCAGCCGGACTGGTCAGAATGCCCGGGCGGAACACGCAAGTACTGAGCACCCTCTCCACTAGTAAACATCGCATACATGGCAGTGAGAATAGCATCAAAGTCTAAAGCCCAGATATCAACTCCCTTCTTCTCCAGATCAGCCCAGCGGGGCAGCTCAGTGGCATCAGGAAACTGGGCACGCCACGCGTCAGTAAGGCGCGCGAAACAGCGCTGTGTGGGATGCGGCCTCCCACACTGCTGGCCAGTGCGGTCACCAGTGCGAATGACGTACGTGCAGGTAAAGCCACGCTGCGCATACCACTCACGGGCGGCCTGAAGCGACGGGGCGGGCTGCTGACTCTGTCCACCGCCAGCGCCTCCACGACCACCACCGCCGCCGCCACCGCCCCGGCCACCTCCACCCCTGCCGCCGCCACGACCACCTCCGCCTCCGCTGCCGCCTCCGCCCCTGCCACCGCTCCCGCCGCTGCTGTCACCACCCCCACTGCCGCCACTAGCCTCTCCAGTCCCACCGCCACCCCCACCGCCACCACTCCCGCCTCCCCCGCCGCCACCTCCACCCTTGCCCCCTTTGCCCCTGCGGCGCCCGCTCGGAGCAGACGCAGCCCCGACCTTCTCAGCACCAAGGAGGTCGACAGCAGCAGCAGAGGCGACAGAGGGGAGGAGAGGGGAAGGGGAACACCCCTCAAAGAACGGGGTGCGGGGGTCGCCACGAGAGGTGCCTACAGCGACGATGCTCGTCTCAGCTGCAAGCAATTCCTTCTCGAGGAGGGCAATGGTGAGCTCAGTGGGAGAGCGAGCGAGGAAGTGATCCCTGACTGCGCGCAGAGAGTCAGGGAGGCGGGTGACGATGTGGTAGAGTGTGATCCAGAGCGGGGGGGGGTTGGTGGCAAGGAACTCGTCAGGCATAGCAGCGCGAAAGCGGGCCTCACTGGTCCTGAGGTGGGTGATGAGGTCAGCGACTGTGCTGAAGGAGGCCAGGTCGGGGAACAGGTATGGGAGGGTGAGGCGGCCTAGTGCGGCAGAGGCAGGTGAGGAGTAACGAGCAACGACAGCAGTGTACAGGTCCTTAGCAGTCTTGTGCTGGCCAAAGTGCTCGCGCTCATCTAGTGGCAGGGAGTTGCGAATAGCGAAGCGAGCGTGGGCGTCACGAGTCTGCCACTGTGAGCGCTGAGTGCTGTCTGCAGTGGTAGGAGGGGCAGTAGCGTGACCGAGGGCATGATCGTACAGCGAAATATCCTCCTTGGCAGTGAGCTGTAGGAAGAGGTGCAGGTCATCTAGCCAGGTGTCAAATTTCACTGGGCGGCCCTCAGCATCGAAAGCAAGTACGGGAGGACTGGCCATAGTGGCAGCAGTAGTTGCAGTAGGAACAGTAGTAGTAGCCGTAGAAGAAATAGGAGGAGCAGCAGTATCGACGGGGCTGCTGGTACGGGCGGCGCGGCTCGGTCTGACGGCACGGCTCCGTTCAGGTAGGGCGGCGCGGCTCGGTTCGGTTGCGCGGAGCTGTTAAGCGGGGCTCGACGGGGCCGAGGGGCCGCTAAGCGGTGTCAGAATCCCAGCCACTAACCACTGGGATAAAAGGGCTTGTTTGTGTAGCGGGTGAGTGCGCCCATAACCCCCCAGGCCAACGTGCCTGTAACCCTTCCCTATGATCAATCGGGGATCACCAGTGGACCTCTGACACCCCCCCGCACTGGGATGCCCGAGGTGCACACACCGGGATTCGAACCCGAGACCTTCGCTCTGATACCATGTCAGAATCCCAGCCACTAACCACTGGGATAAAAGGGCTTGTTTGTGTAGCGGATGAGTGCGCCCATAACCCCCCAGGCCAACATGCCTGTAACCCTTCCCTAGGATCGATCGGGGATCACCAGTGGACCTCTGACAAGCGGGGCGCAGGAGGGTCGCGGGGCCGTGAGGTGGCGGGCGACGGGGCCACGGGGCCGCTAAACGGGGTGCGCGCGGGGCCGCGGGGCCTCTAGTTGAGGGTCGACGGGGCCGCGGGGCCGCTAAACGGGGTGCGCGCGGGGCCGCGGGGCCTCTAGGTGTGGGGCGACGGGGCCGCGGGGCCGCTAAACGGGGTGCGCGCGGGGCCGCGGGGCCTCTAGGGTGGGTCGACGGGGCCGCGGGGCCGCTAAACGGGGTGCGCGCGGGGCCGCGGGGCCTCTAGGGTGGGTCGACGGGGCCGCGGGGCCGCTAAACGGGGTGCGCGCGGGGTCGACGGGGCCAAGCGGGCCGGAATCGGGGCGCGCGCGGGTGCGACGGGGCCACTAAGGGGCAGCGTGCGGGGTCGACGGGGCCTTAAGGGGCCGTACACGAGGGCGCACGAGGGCGCTGAGGGGGAGGCGCTAACGCAGCACTCCGACAGTAGGTAGGAAGTAGGTAGTAGAGGTGGGCCCGGAAAAAAAAACTTAGGTCCTAGCGAAGGACCTGCTCTGAAACCATGTCAGAATAACTGAACGAGGAATGAATGAACTAGCAGTGAAATGAGTACAAGTACCTAACCCTAGAATTGTGTACCCCCTATAGGCTAACCCACTACAGCCTACACAAGCACAACACATATAATGTTTGACAGGTATTGCGCCATACACCCCCACACGCGGAGCATGGATGTGTCCCCCTTAGTCCCGGTCCACTTGACGTGCGGGGACAGGTTGCCGGTGATGGCGGTGGTTGACAGCAGGTTGTGCACCCGCACGGCGTGGTGCATTGTGTACGTCCAATAGATCGGCGGCAGCTTCGACTGCTTCATCAGCGCCCGCACCTTCGTCCGCTCGGCTACGCCCTGCTGCTGGTGTGCGTAGGGGAGAGAAATGTGGTGCTCGATCCCCTTTTGCGCCAGGTAATCCTGCATCTGCTTGCTTCTGAACTCTGCCGCGCCGTCAGATTGCCAGATCTTGAGCTTCTTCCCGGACTGTCGCTGCGCGTGCGCCAGCCAGAGGCGGAATACCTTGTAATCTCTGTCGCGGGACTCCACGTTCGCGACCCACACGTAGCGCGTCCCGGCGTCGATGAAGGTAAGCGTGTACATTTCGTCGTCGACTCCGCAGTGCCCCACGTTCAGGAAGACGGTGTAGACCTTATACAGCTTGGGGTAGCGGTTCGTCCCTGGCTCGAGCAGCGGGAACGGCTGGTGGCTTAGCGCGGCTTCGGGGCAGACGGTGCAGTTGCGCGGGTGTGTCGCGCCTCTCACTTCGGTGCCATCTGGGCGCAGGAGCGCTCCAGGAGCGAAGACGCCTGCGTCGATGCAGTTTTTCGACGTCGCGCGCGAAGGATGTCCGAGGCGCTGGTGCCAGAGTGCATCATCAGCGCGAAAGCCGGTTTGCGCACATAGCACGCACGAGCTTCTTCGGGGTCTTTGTCAGGTACGGGAGCAGGTTCTGCTGTTGCATGTTCTTATGTTGCTTCTTCTGCTGCTTATTTTTCGTTGTTGGCGGTGGTCAGCATAAGCGCCAGAAATTCTCTATCGCAAATCTCTGAGAGGGGGATATTAGTCCCAGGGATGGTTCCAAGGACGCGGGGTTGACGGCTCGTTGCCCCAGTAGATAGTGTCCCGTGGATCGCGACGCGGTAGGTTGTCAGGAGGAGGTAATGCAAGTGGAGCATGGCGTGGGGGACGACGAAGGGGAACAACTGCAGGTGTTGCTTCAGTTTCTTCTACTTCTCCTTCTCCCCCCCTTTGTTCTTCGCGGGAAGTTCCCCAGCCGCTGCCGTCGTCGCCAGGCGCAACGCCCCATCCACAGCTTGCGCTTGCCCAGGTTCCGCCGGTGTTGCCCCATCCACCAGCGCTTCCCCATCCCCCTTCATTGGAGGCAGTTTCTTCCGCTTCGGCTACCCAGGCGCCGCAAGCGAACGTCCCGCGCGCTTCGTCGAGACTTTGTTGGCGAATTTCCTTAGC